TTTTGAATAGTCTGCCGTGGTTTCGTTCCATTTCAAAGAGCTTGACGCTCGGCGTAACCTTGGCGCACTGCCACTCCAACATCCAATCCCAGAGCTTGAAGATTAATCACGGGGTTTGTCAACGGGACTGTAGTCCCAAACGATAGCTGGGGATTATGGGTAGTGTAGTGTCTTCGGCCATCCTAAACTGATTTTTTTTTCGGATATCATATCCATTAACAACACCACATCTGGCGTCACAGAGATCTTCTGTTACTGTCCTTTCTTCTTAGAGGAAGTACAGAAACACGTAACTCTGGATTTGTTTTAATGCTTGAGGTGCAATAAACAACACAGCAGCTTTTTGGCATGTTAAAACTATTATTTTCTGCCTCTCATGAGAGTAACAGCCGGCGAAATTACAGCCCCGCCTACTGATTTCAAATGTGTGCTCTAAAATGGTATTTATAAATGACTATTATCATTATTATAAGCAAGACAATAAATGGCAAAGATATGTAAAAAATAAACGTCTTTAAGATACGTTCATAAAAAACGTAACGTGGGAGAAAATAAGATTCTAGAAGATATGTAGAAAATAAACGTATTTGAGATACGTTCATAAAAAACGTAACGTGGGAGAAAATAAGAAGCTAAACGTAATTGAGAATGCAGTTTAGTTCTGTGGGAACGTAATTTTTAGGAGACAGGGTTGCACATACATTCTGACGAAAAATACAAATTATTATGAATACAAATATAATAAAAGAAGCCTCCCGTGAGTTACTACAAGCTATAAATTAGATTAAAAAAACTTTTTATAGAATAAAAAGCTCACTGCAGGACGTTGTAGAAATGCGTGTGTGCACCACGACAAAGGAGCCTCATTCACTTTACATTGGTGTTGTTTGCTGGTGCAGACCATAGACTGTATATAAAGGTGCAGACACGTAAATGTAGCAAAGTTCGTGACTCCACCACGCAATGCGGTGTTAAGGAGTCGTGGTGGAGTCACGCATTCTGGTGAGATCAGGTTGCCCGAAACGCACACACACACACACACACACACACACACACACACACACACACACACACACACACACACACACACACACACACACCTGCAGCCTGGCCGGGAGTTTGTGTGTGTGCTCAGGCTGAGTTCCGCGGTGTCTCGCTGTCTCGCCAACCCCACACCAGTGAGCCAGCTGTGTCCCGCTCCTCGCAGCAGCGAGCCTCACAACGTCCCGCCGAGTGTGTGTGAGGAAGTCCGCGGATTGGTCCAAATGTAACGGCTCCGCGGACGTTACGTTACGTCACTATACCCAAATACGTCACTATACCCAAGAAGTAAGCAATGGAAAAAGAGAAATCTCCAACGAGGCGTTCTGGGGCAGCATAGACAGGTCTTTTCTGTGTTAGAGTTTTACTCGCTACAGGGTGTGCTTTGAGGGTTTTTGACTCTGCAGACCGTTCACATGCATAAAAAGCTACATAACACACAAGGGGACGGGTAATAACCAGAAAAGCATGACATGGGACCTTTAATATCCATTTGATGGATTTATCTGACATTTGGTGCATACAGTAGGCTACATGAATGACTGAAATAACTTTGGTGAGGCTTCTTCTCGAGAACCATGTAATCTGTTATGACAGAAAAAAAAGCTACTGAGTTTTTTCTGTGTTTTTTGCTCATTAGAATATGTTAGCACCATAGACTGGTTATCACACTAACACCTACCTACACTAATGTCCAGCATGTTAGCATTAGCGTAGCATGTTTTTAGCATTATTCTCAAAGCACTTCCATTGTTTACTCTTATTTATAGATTTTATACTGGACATTATCAGCATTTAGGCAAATGTTAGCAGATTGGATATAACATTTGATATATTTGCACACAGTTATAGAGTGCAGTGCAATAATAAAGCTCTGTTAACAGTGTTTCTAAATGTCAGTGCAGTATTAAAAGCCAGAAGAGGGATGCAGACGAGCAGCCTCTTACCGGACTGCCGGTGCCCCTGGTATTTTTCCCAGAAGGCAACCGGCTGAGCTCATCTGCGACAGAGCACAGAGAGAGGGGGGGGGAGGGGGGGTGCGAATGGGGCGCAGGCGCGCGGTATTACGCACGCCCTTGTACTGAATATAATATTATACAGCTGGAGTGTGTTTATGGTTTGAAGAGCAGGTTCAAGGCTGGCTTCAAACCTTTATATACAGTCGATGCTTCAAACTCACACTATCACACACAAACACACACACACTAGCAGCCAAGGTGTGACCGTGAGGGGGGGATGAATGCGCGTGGGTTATTGCTCTTTTGAATTTGTGAGAGAGAGCGCGCGCGTGTGTCTGTGAATGAGGGCACAAGTGGCTTAGTGTAGACAATAGATGGGACTCGATCCTCAAAGTCAACTACAACCCCCGCGAACACACGCTCACCTCAAATAGAAAGCGAGGAAAAGGGGAAAGGGAGGGATGGGGGAGGAGGGGAGTCAGACAGAAACACAGAGGAGCGTCTCACCGGAGAAGCAGGAAATATTTCATAACAAGGTGATATCGCAGCCAGAGGTTTGGCAGAGCCTAGGTGATGCTTTACAGTCTATTGGTGATGCAGTGACAGCAGAGGTTCCACTAATGACGTATCTGTTTATAATTAAACGCGTTTAAATGGCAAAGCCGGGGCACATAAATAAAAACAAATAAATAAATAACTCCATCCTATAGCGTCATCCGCATTGAGGAGCCTCGTTCCTCTCCCTCCTTGCACCACCTTTAGGCTGAGGAACCAGCGGCAACAGTCAGTGGGAGATAACCGAGCATCCGGTTATAGCTTTCAAAATAACAGCTTTATATTGCAAACAAAAACATATTTTTTGGAGATAATAGGTTATGCATGCAGACCCTGGTGTGCTTGAGAAACCTCCACTGTCATGCCCTCTGTGTTGAATGATTGAATGCAATTGGATGCAAGATCGTCCTTTAAAATATTGAGATCAGCATTGTGATGCATTTTGCTGTATTTTGGTTGAGAAAATCTAACAGAAATCCATGTCATTCAATGCTGGATTACTCATTGAGCAATCCAGACAACATCCACAGTGGGATGACCCCCAGAAGCCCCATGTTCATTGTACAGCAATTGGTACGTTTTGTTTGTAGTCAGTTTCTTTGGGCAATATTCGAGTTGCTAAAGCAAAAATATCCACTCCTCAAAGCTTAAACATTAATGTTGTTAGCTGATTTTAAAGTGTTTTAATAGGGCCATGTAGCAAAATACTATTAATGGATTATCTATTTTACAAACTGTTAACACCTCCCTTTACATATTTACTGATACTTACTATGCATACACATTTCTGTTTACAGATTTTAGGTACAAACAGTTACATTTGTTTGTTAACTTGCAATACCTTATACTATTTCACTACTAAATATGTTTTAATTATTTTACACAGAATATGTATGTATTTATTTTACCTTGGACTTTTTATATTTCTCAGATTCCTATTTTGCTTTACTTAAAACATATATATTTTTATACATGGTTGTGGGAAGCCTGAGATCCAACATTTTGACTGCTTCTTTGTTATTGTTGTGACTATAACAATATTTTATTAGTTTAAATTTACCATGCAAATCTGAGTTGCTGTATATATGTCTTAAATACCACATGTAGTGCAGAGGAAGAAGAGCAGGGTTTATTTTTGCCTCCTGCTATGACTCAACTCCTAGAAACCAACACACACTTTTTAGTTTCTTTATCTCGTCTTATTTTGAAAGTCATGACGCCTAATTTCCTGTGTGTCTCTGACTCACTGCGTGCTTCTTGACGCAGCTCGCTGAGGCGCTGTAGGACGACCGGATAACGGGACCGAGAAGGGGGACAGGAGCAAAACGCGTCAGTCTGACAGACCTAGACGGGGTGCTATTGTATAACTCGGGCCTTCGGTCTTTTTAACTCAAGGCTTCCAGGAGGAGCGGCTACTTTCTGTCTATTTCTCCCCTATTTTCTTCCCCTCTCCCCGCGGAGGTAGAGCCGGAGCAGCAGCGGGGCTCGGTGTTGCATCGGCCGCTGGCGGAGGACCTGCACATGTCGGCGCGGTGAGGGAGCGTTTGTTTCCCCGCCCTGATACAGGAGGAGGAGGTTGTGTGGAAGAGGTTTAAACCGCAACATTATCCACCTCTGTGAGACAAAACAAATAAAAACACACAGCAGGTGCGGCCGCTGTAACGGTCGAAAGAGGATCCGTTGAAACGAGCGAGAAGGACAACAGTGATGCGGCAGCCGAGGTGGGCCCAGATTGATGATTTTATGATATCATCATCCACCGCCAGGACCGATCACTGATTGTATTGATAAGGAGCATCATCGAGGAGATTCAGCTATAAACTGACCCGGGGTCCGTTTGTTTGTTTTTGATCCGGATAAACAGGCAAGGTGCTTGATACAGTGATTTCTCAACAACAGGAGCTCAGTTAAAGAAATACATAGCCGAATTTAGGCCCATGACTTAGTCTGTGTGTGACGCCAATACAGCAGCAGAGAGGCGTGTGTGTGTGAGGGGAGGCGCGCCTGTCTGAGCATCATCTGGTAGCTGCACGGGCTACTCCTCCAAGGGGATGATAGACAAGCGATTTTACATCTGTGTGTGAAAAACCCGAAGAATCAGGCATGATGCTGCTGCCGTTTCCAGTGCGGCTCTGATAGACAGCGAGGCGCGCAGCACGGGACTGGACATCCAGAAAATCTCTCTCCTCACCTCTCCTCCGCCTCTGCACCTTCTCCCCCTGTATCTCTCCCCCTCTCCTCCTCCTTCCTTGAGCTTTTATCATTCTGATCAATTGATTATCCATCTGTGATTCAGATAGCCATCCACTCCTCACTTCTTTCACCCTTTCTCAAGTGTCCCCCGTTACGCGCACACACACACACACACACACACACACACACACACACACACACACACACACACACACACACACACACACACACACACACACACACACACACACACACACACACACACACACACACACACACACACACACACACACACACACACACACACACCAAGGCGCACAGGCCGCCGTCTACAGCCATCATGGAGACAACCAAGCTGCCTCCTTCCAGCCCGTCCTCGCCGACCACCAGCTTCTCGGTGCCGTCCGCGGAGAAGGTGGATGGTTTCCCGCGGAGGTCGATGCGCAGAGCCCGGCAGAGGAGGTCCCACAGCTCCTCCCAGTTCCGGTACCAGAGCTCCCAGGTGGAGCTCACCCCGCTGCCCCTGCTCAAAGGTGAGACACTCTCCACCAGCAACCAGGTCAATATGTCATAGTGATAAGGCCCCCAACAAGGTCACCATGCACTCACTGATTCCACTATCTTTATTGTTGAAACACCTTTACACTAAAGTGAAAGGCACCTCCTCGGGAGAAGGTGTGATGTATTGCTTTTTGTTATTGATAGGTGTCCATATTGTCCTTGTCCTGTCCATCCGGCAGAGGTGATGGCTTTTATTTATTACCTGATAAGATCCAATCCTGTTCTGGGTTCTTTTAAAGGTTGGTTGCTGGAAAATTCTCTTTAGGGCTCAAACTAATCATTATTTTCATGCATAATTATTAATTTGCTAATTCAATTACAAAGAAAGTGAAAGAAGTCCACCCCAGTTCCCCAAAGTCGAAGGTGATGTCTTCAGATATATTGTTTGTCTGCCCAACCCAAAATAATTTCAGTTACAATGATTCAAAAAACATTAAAACCTGTATTTGACAATATACCCAAATTGTTAACGGTTTTAAATTAGTCTACTACAAATCTCTTGGTCAAGGTTTTATTCTAAATGCATTATTTGCTTTAAACTTTTAAGCACATCTCTGGTAAACACAAGACTTAAAGTGGTTATTTTGCATCAATCGTTGAGGAGAACATCAGTTTAAAATCTTTCAATTAAATCAACTCAGATCGGTCGATTGACAATTTCTTTAGTCATTTAATGAATCAATGTCTGTCCATTTTCATATTTAGTGAGGATTTAATTACTGCTGAGGTAGAGATCAAATTGTATAAAACTACGAAATTATAGAAGGGACAAGAAATGAGCTATTCTTCCAATTTTCCTCATTTTTAGAAACAATTACTCTTTGAGCACCAGGAAAAGCGATATATTAATACCATGTATTATTATTATTCTAAATCATCGATTACAACTTTGCATTGTGATCTGGTTGAATATGAAAGTTAGTATGTTCATGTATAAAAAACATGCTTCAAACTGTGCTAGTTTAAAATGACATCAAGTTATGCAGAGTCACTAACAGACTCATTGAAACACCAACCATCAGCCTGTCTCTGGCTGGTTGATGTGGAAGTTGTAGAAGCATCTCCCCATTTTACGAGTTTCTCTATGACAGACCATTGCTGCCTCTATTAGACAAACCTCAAACTAAATACAAAATAATCAAGGAAATATACTTTAAGAAGTTGAGGCTATAAGATATTTCACACGGTAACCCTGCGCTACCTGCAGGTGTGCCATTGCTGAGCTGCTGTTACTACACAGAATCCACTTTGATCTGTGCTCATTCAATAACCTCTCAGAATGAGGGCAAGGCTTTCAGTTTCAAATATACCTTAGTGCTGTCTGCATTTCTTATAAATCTACCTGCTAGAAGTGATACAGTATGAACAGAAGTAAATCACAGAAAAGTAGGAGGCGTAAAATGCAACAATTTTAGTAGTCAATATAGGGCTATTCATTTACCAAAAATACAACAAGTTTCCTTTTCCAGCTGCTAACACTTGAGGATTTGCTGGTTTGTCCCTGTTGAATATGGTTTAAAACTATAATATCTTTGGGTTTCTGTATGGTTGTTTGACAACACAAGACATTTCATTCAAGATGTCATCTGGACTCTGGGCACTTGGGTTGCGCAATTTTCACCCTTTTCTGACCTTTTTAGACACTAAATTATTAATCAAACAAAAAGAGAATAACAGCTGAATCCATAATCCAAAGTAGAAGGGCACTCTGTGAGCACAGACCTCCACCAAGGCCCAGTGCATCTCGCAATGTTAACGAAAGTAGAACTACTTTGTTTATCTTCCCTGTAATTGGGATTTGTTCCAGAGCTTTTCCTTGTTCCCATGATGGTCAGTTTTCTTAAAGTAAAAGGTATATTTTGTAAAAGTTAGTTCCACCTCTGGAGGAATGTGCTTCTGTTTGTTGGGTTGTGGACAAAGTACTCAGATCTTAATTAAGTCAAAGTAGTAATACCGCAGTCTAGAAAAAGTCTGTCACAAGTAAAAGTCCTGCTGCAACAAGTATTAGCATCGAAATTGAAGTACAAAAGTACTCATTCTGCTCCTCTCAAGAATATATATAACATTATTAAATGATGATTATTGATGCACTTTAATGTTGCAGCGGGTGAAGAAGGAGGTTATCTTTAAGTCGAGTAGAAGTATAAAGCGGGAGGAGATGGAAATACTCAAGTGTAATATAAATATTTAAAAGTGCAGTACTAAAGTTACTTAGATACTCAACTTTTTATCATTCTCTCGATTTAACCCTTAAAACACATTTTCTTGCTAGTGTTTAGACATTGTTTACACAGAGAAATCAATATTTTTGTACCTTCTTCTTATGGTTCACACAGCAAACAAGACATGCCTTCCCCATTTCTATTATTCTCTCTGTTGTATTGCTATATATTTCTTCTATCCGTCTCTTTCTTTGTGACCCGTGGGCCTTACATTGTGAGTCTTCACACATGCCTCTTTAAAAGGTTACTCCCTCTTTCATGTAGCTTGCAATCTCGTCCCATTAACCCTCCATGAATAGGAGACCTTTCTGCTTTTAGAGATGGTACGAGGTGCGTGTATGTGTCTTTACACCTCATTTCACTGGCTTCCACTTCCTGTGAGGCGCGTGATCGAGGGGCGTGTGCAGCATGATGATGGAGGGTTTTCATTGCATCTTTACAGCACCTTTGCTTCCGACCTCTCTGTGGATGGATAGAAGTCCCAGTTATCAAATGGCTGCTGCACCGCTGCGGCACTGATTCTGGATCCCCCAGAGAAGCTGGTAGTAAGATCCTGCAGCACGGAGCAGGAGAAAAGCCTGCTGAGGGGAAGTCTGCAACGGGCAGTATGTAGGCCAAGTGTAGGCAGACTTGTGGGTGTTTTACCCTCCATGGAATCCCTTTCCCATCGTTTATTTGAACTGCTCCTCCTATTAGCATTGGCAGATCTCTTTCACTTTCAGCCCTGAGCAAAGCTTCTGTCTTGATTGCATCTTCCGGCTGAATATGAAACATAAAAGTTTAGACAGAGTTATAAGAAGGAAAAAGATTAAAAAAAGATAAATGTGGAAAATGACATAGTCATCACTTTAAAACTTTCAAAAAAGAGCCACTAGTGATAAGCATTGCCTTTTTATGTAAAATTATAGTTGTGTGATGTTGTATTATTGAAAAATAGGCAACAGTAACAATGCTTTGACAGAAGGAAAAGCATACAAATACAAACAGTAAACACCAAGTTTTAAATGTGAGTCTCAGAAAAAGCAAGAACTCTATATTTTGGACCAATTTTCAACAGTCACAACAGGAGGGAATTCATCAGAGAGGAGGCAGACATACTGATTCCTTGCCTCAATCGATCCAAATGCAATGCAGTCACAGCCTGCATCTCTGTCATCAGTAGTGTGTGAAATATATTACCCAGAAAACGTGTTGTTTTCTGCAAACTTACTAAAGAAAAATGTAGGGAGTTCTGTATACGCAGTCTGGTATCATGTAAACATTTATAATGCTTGATCTGGCTGTTGTGTTTATATTGCATCGTCATCCCAATGATGTTCTGTTTTGGTTGTATAGCTGTTGCTGTTAAGTTGCTTCTTCTTTGTGTGCGGTAAGCGGGAGAGCAGACTGATTTTTGTTTGCTGTACAGAATGTTGTTTTTGAAAGGCTTAACGCCAACTAATATGGATTGAAGCAGAATATTTTGTTGGATAATTTTTTTTTGCAATATATACATTTTAGCTACACTTTTCATCATTGTCAGCTACATATGAATTATCCGTAGTAGTGTTTAATACAACAAAACAAGGAACAGACACTTCAGCAGTATGAGTACACGAGGCAGGTTTATAGAAGTTTGGCAGAACAAAAAACATGTCAATTAATTAGTCATCATCACCTCTCAAAATGCAGCTTGAACACTAAACCGAACAATAAAAGAGCAGGAGCGACGGTCAAGGCAGCCAATTAAACGGACAAAAAGGGTGAAGGAGAAAGGGTCCATTTAATCCCTTTTACAGTGTTCTCATGTTGGCCACAGGCCTGCAGCAAACACATGCATCCCTTTCTGTACACTGTGTTCTTGGACCTGTACTGTACTGCGGTGGAGAGTTTATACAGTTTATATAATGGATATATTTGGAAATACTTGTTTTATACACAGAATTCTTAAGTTTTTCCTTCAAGGTCTATTTCATAAAAACACAGCCCCAAATCTAGTTAAAGCCAACCCTACCTCGTCTTTCAGTTGGCGTTTTGTGTTGTTAACTCTCAACAAATTGATCATTCCCTTTACCACCATTAGCAGTCGCTCTGTTTTAAGTGTTTTCCCCTGTTTTTCCTCTGTCTAAATGTTTCACATTTCTAAATGGAGCTTTAATGTAAGTACTGCTGAATGTTTTTAGACAGGGCCCCAAAAGAGATGATGATTGAGTCACACAGAGGCACCAGGGCTCTATAAACTTATCTGGAACAGAGGCAAATTAAAATGTTCAGTGTCACACAGTTACAAAACCACCAGATCTGTATGTCTGTCTGTCTTTCTGTCTGTCCAGCAAGTTAGCGAGTTAGCTAAACAACAAGTTAGCTAAACAACAAGTTAGCTAAACAACAAGTTAGCTTAACGGCGAGTTAGCTAAACAGCAAGTTAGCTAAACCAGCGGTCCCCAACCTTTTTTGCGCCACGGACCGGCTTAATGTCAGACACATTTTCACGGACCGGCCTTTAAGGTGTGGCGGATAAATACAACAAAATAAAATGACAAGACCATGGTATTTTGTAAATATAATAATAAAAAGCCTGAATCCACTGTGTACTTGTATGTAACTTTATTAGCAGCGTCCTCCTGACATTTTTTTGTTTTTTGCGTCCTCCTGACATCCACCAACAACAATAATAATAACATAATAATAACAATAACAACCTCTCTGCCTCGCGCTCTCTGGTCGCTTTGGTAACACTTAAACATACCTTCAAAATACAACATAAAACA